AAGTGAATGTCCTGGAACATGCTCAGGATCTGGCTCTCCTTAGATGTTATCAGGTATATGGGGGCCTGGGATGAAACTCAGAGAATGATTCACTTTCTTGCCTCCCTCTTGGAGTAGGAGCAAAGGAGTCCTTCTTGGGTGTACTTGGGTGCAAGGGGAAATACCGAGCATGAGTAAATGGGGCCTAGCAGAGAAAGAGCAGCAATGGAGCCTGTCTAAAATGGAGTCTGTTCAGCTCCCCTATCCCACTCTGAGCAATTGTAAGGCAATGCTGTCATCATCACCCCCCCATACCCCTGCCATGTGTGTGGTGCCTGGCTCTCTGTAACAGAAGCTCCGCTTCTGGCTCAGGGAGTTTTTCCAGCTTTTCAGCCCCATTTCCTGGATCCTTTCCCTGCATCTCTTCCCGCAGAAATGCCATGAATCAGCACTAACTGAGCCCTGGGTGAAATACGATGCTCTATTGCAGGGACCTTCCCTTTGGAGTCCTTCTGTCTTTTGGGCCTGTCCTCCCCATATCATCAGTGAAACTGTTCCTTCCTTTTCCCCAGCGAGGAAGTGTGCTATGGGCATAGGGTGGCACCGTGGGCCATCGAGGAAATTTTCCAGACTGGCAGAAGAAACTGGGAAGCAGGGAGAAGAGAAAAAAATCCAAGCACTCAGACCAGGCACCCAAGGAACTCCAGGACTCTGGGGGATTGGGCGGTATAGAGGATCTTCTTGGGCTTTGAGTCATTCTGGTCCCCTGGTCCAACCCAAGTATCAGAACCTTTCAGAACTTTGGGGTGGGTCCTTCAATGTCCTTGACCACATTGTCAAAAAGTAGTTGAACGACACAGGCTTGATTACCTCCCATGATGGTAAGCTCACAACCCACTCATTCCATCTTTAGATGGCTTTAATTACTAGAAAGTCTTACCTAATAATGGGTCTGTATCCACTCACTGCCCCCCCCCACATTGCTCTCTATTCCTTGTATTTCTAGGAGACGATAACCCCCTTCCCCATACCTGTGGTCGGGGAGTTTAAAGTAGGAGGATCAAAGCTGTATACTTTCAGTATATATGTTGCTCTTCATTGACAAGTTTTATAGGAAGAAAAAAGAAACATTAGGAGTTTAAGAAAAGAAATTGTAAACCATTATCTATCACCAGATCTAGAACAAACTCCCCCTGACCTCAGTCTGGGTCAGTGCCCCTTCCTCATGGGCCCCTGTCCTAATCTAGCTTACATGCTGACATGTCTGTCTCACCCATGAGACTGTTCTGTCCAATACCAGCCACTAGCCCCATGTAGTTGTTCAAACATAAATAAATTAAAATTAGATTATATTAGATCCATTGCGCTGGGCACATTTCAGGTGCTCAACAGCCACATGGGGCTAGTGGTGACCATACTGCATGGCACAGACATTGAACATTTCCACATTGCAGAAAGTTCTAGTCTAGTACAGCACTACGTTAAGTCTAGCTCCAGGAAGACAGAGACCAAGTCTTTTTGGTCCTGCACTGTATCCCTGGTACCCAGCACACTCTCAAGCCCTGCTCTGATACTAAACAAATATCAACAGATTTCTCACACTGCCTCACTCTGCACAAGGCCCAGCACCAGCGCCAGTACCCATATCTCCCTTACTCTCCTTGCCTCCAGACCATGGCTTCTAGCCAAGCCTTTTTTTTTTTTTAAGATTTTATTTATTTATTCATGAGAGACAGAGAGAGAGAGAGAGAGAGAGAGAGAGGCAGAGGGAGAAGCCGGCTCCCAAGGAGCAGGGAGCCCAATGCGGGACTCGATCCCAGGACTCTGGGATCATGACCTGAGCTGAAGGCAGATGCTTAACCATCTGAGCCACCCAGGAGCCCTCTAGCCAAGCTTTGACTGGGGCCCTGAGCCAGGGCTCATGGTCTCCTTCCTCCCTCCAAACCATCTCTGGTCCATGACTGGCTTATGGTTCTAGGAACATTGTAAACTGTGTGTGTGTGTGTGTGTGTGTGTGTGTGTGCGCGCTGGGGAGCGGTTGCAGAGAAATAATTGGCAGGGGAAGAGGTGGTCAGCATGAAGAGAACCAGGGTTCCAGGCTCAAGAAGCTCAAATTTGAGCCTCTAGCAATGGCTGATCCCACCTATATGGTAGGCAGCCACCCAGGCTTTGGTTTGAATTCTGGCTGTGTTTCCTCCTGGCTGTATGACCCTGGGAAGCCACTCAACCTCTGTGAAGTCACTGTATGCATTGCTTTCTCATTTTAAATATGGATAATAATACCAACTTGATATAGGTAGTGAGTACATTAAAGAAGATGTGTGGGGTTCAGTTGGTACTCAATTATTGCTTGTTCCTTTCTCCACACAGAGGGCAGTAAGATCCCTTCCTTAAACATCATTCAGATCACAGCCCTCAGACACCTGTGTGGTTCCCACTTCTCCCACACAGGAGACCAAATATAACTCCTGATAGCTCCCTTTGCCTTAAAGCAAGACACCTATCATTCATTCCATTGTTCTTACCTCCAAAGGTACCCAGTATCTGCCAGCCAGCCAGGTCTGTTCCCTCCCCCACCTTCACGTCCCCGTACATACCTGAAATGCCCTTCCCGCCCTCTCTTTCCTAAACTGGGCCCTATCTTCTCAGAAGCAGATTCTTTTCATGAGACTCGCTTCCTCTTCTAAGCCTACTTGATTCAACCTTTCCAGTTTCAAGATTACTCATCACTAAAAATTATTTCATGCCTACCTTGGCCTTCAGCCCCTTTCCTCCTTCCTTAGTGATTAAGATACAAGACAGTACCTGGAAAATCTGCACCTGTGGGCATCTGTGTTCCCAGGTATCTGGTTGTACATGTTGAGTGTGTATAGAGCAGGAAGCAAGAGCAGGTGGTGACAAAAAAAAAAAAAAAGAAAGAAAGAAAGAAAGAAAAGGAAGGAAGGAAGGAAGGAAGAAAGGGAGTTGGTGAGGTGGGAGAGTTGGACCAGACCAGACACAATGTCCCATTTGGCCCCTTACTACATGGATGGCAAGTTACTTAATCTTTCTGAGCCTCAATGTCCTGTATATTTTTCAGGAAGATTAGAAATAATAATAATATAACTACCATTACTATTTATTGAGCCCTTACTCAGTATAGGCACTGTTCTAAGCTAAGCACTTTACATAGATTCTTTTATTTAATCCTCACTTCAACACTCCCGGGTAGGTAACATTTTTTCCACGTTACTGTTGAAGAAACTGAGACACAAAGGAAACAACACAGAGAGGTTAAGTCCCTTGCCCCAGATCTCACAGCTAGTAAGTGGCAAAACTGGGATCTGCACCCAGGTGCCCAAGAGTCCATGCTCACAAGCACTCTGCTTACTGCCTCCACAGGTAATTCTGTGTGCACGCAAAGCTCCCATCACAATGCCTGACACAAAGATAACCAGTAAGTGGTGTGACTCTTTCCTCACTAGGGCCACAAGCACAAGAGGCCAGGAAAAGTGTCTCTTTTCCTCTGTAATTTGTTGCAGGGCCTAGGAAAGACAGACTATATAGTGGGCACTTTATATGCATTTCCAGGACCTGAGAAAAATGTGGAAGAACTATAAAAAATTTAGAGCCATACTTTCTAAAATGTGAGCTATAAACACATGCCACATGGACACACACTTCTCACAAATACATCACATATGCTCATTCATTCATACACACTCACTGGCCATCTTGAACCCCATGAAGGCTCACAGGAAACCTTTCTGAGCTGGTCCAGGAGCCACAGGAGGCTTTTAGGCAGAGATGTGACAGATCAAACCTGCATTTTAGGAAAGTTGATCCAGCAGCACAGAGGATGAACTCATAATGGAGGGGACAGAGTGGAGATGAGGGAACATTGAAAACACTTTTAACAATCAGGGAAGAAAGGAGCTTAATTTCTAGTGGAACGGAGAGAGTATTTAAGAGTTCCTAAGGAAAGGTGGGGAGGGAATAGTGCCATTCTCTACAATAGGAAACATAAAGGCCAAAGTTTAAGAATGGATGAGACACGTGGGACGTCTGGGAGGCTCAGTCGTTGGGCATCTGCCTTCAGCTCTGGTCATGGTCCCAGGGTCCTGGGATCGAGCCCTGTGTTGGGCTCCCTCCCCTGCGGGAAGCCTGCTTCTCCCTCTGCCAACCCCCCTGCTTGTGTTCCCTCTCTCGCTGTGTTTCTGTCAAAAAAAAAAAAAATAGATGGGACACACACACACACACACACGCACACACACACACAAAGAATAGATGGGACACAGTATCTTTTTACTTTTGGAGTTTCAGATGTCTCTGGAACACCCAGGTGACATCCAATAGGCTTTTGAATATTTGAGTGCATATATATGTTCGTTTTTACAGCTCACAAGACATCTGAACTGGAGACACAAGTTCGAGTGTTATCAGCTCACAGGTAGTAATTAAAACCATGAGTATGGATGAAGTCACCCAGAGAAAGTGTGGGGCCAGAAAATCTGTGGGTCCAGGACAGAGCTCTGGGGAGCTCCAACTCCAAGCAGGAGAAGGCTTCAATTTGTGAATGTTCTTCCAGGAATAGTGTGCGATGTGAAAGGGGGTGTGGAAAGGGCCCTGGAGATCACCAACATTTAGGGGAGAAGAAGGTTAACAGATGAGAAGAGACGGGCAGAGGTGCAGGAGAAACCAGGAAAGGGTGTCACAAGCGGAAAGAAATCGGCTGCATAAAAGCTAACAGAGGTCAGTGGAGATAAGAACAGGAAACTCCACCCATTAGATGTGGCAAGTAGGAGGCAGCCCGCGCGGCCAGAGTGAGGTCAGTGGGATAGTGACTGCTTGAGTCCCCAGCTGTTGAAAACACTAGTTTGAGCAGCTGATCGAAACTGCCGGCCTCACACGGCTTTCACGAGCGCTACGCCGTCGCGCATGCGCACTCATACGCACCAGAGGGCTAATTATAGGGACTTGGCATTTCCGGAGAGGACTGGCGCACGCGCCTCCCGAGCCCGCCTACTCCCCCGCCGGTCCCTCCCCAGGCCTGCAGAGGGCGTTGCCCCTTGGAGAGCCGGGGCGTGGCGCCGCTCTAGCCTGCGCCTGGGCTCGGTGGCGGGCGCCGCAGCTTAGCGTGCCCCACGCCTCCCCTCGGCGCAGGTGGGTCCGCCCGCGGGGGGCGGGAGTGTCTGGGATCCGTGGGGTGGGCGGGTAGGGGTAGTCTCCAGGCGCGGAGTGGTCCCCATTGCTGAGGTGCCCCGGCTTGGGTCCGGCCCCGGACGGTCGGGCTGTGGGCGAGGCGGCACGGGTACGAGTCCCAGTCTGGGTGGGCAGCTCCTCCAGGACAAGCGCTGCTTGTCCAAGGACCTTTTCACACCCCGGGGGTCTCCGCCAAGGCTCGCGTGCAGCTTCCGGGGACTCGCTGGGGGCGGGGCTAGCGGGGGCGGGGCTCCCGTGATCGACACTTCTTTCCCCAGGTCTCTCGGGCTTCCACTGGACCCCTCCCCTGTCCTGAGCCCTGAGCCGGCACCATGGTGAGATCTTTGAGTCAAGCCCCTCACCTCCGCATGCCCATGGCCCCCGTGGCCTTGCCTCCGTTGCCTTCTATAAACCTGGGGCTCCGCTGGGGGGAGGGGTTCGGTGGGTCTGGCAGCCTGCACCCTTCCAACCCCCCCCCGCCCCCATCCCTGTAGCACGGGCGCCTGAAGGTGAAGACGTCGGAAGAGCAGGCGGAGGCCAAAAGGCTAGAGCGGGAGCAGAAGCTGAAGCTATACCAGTCAGCCACCCGGACTGTCTTCCAGAAGGTGGGCCTTCAGAGGTAGCCCCTTCTCCAAATGGCCTTCTTAGTATCTCACAGAGGTCAAGAGCTGGGCCTTAGAGTCAGACTGCCTGGATCCATATCTGGGTTCCGTCGCTTACAAGCTGTGTGACCTTGGGCAAGTTACTGCATCTCTTTAAATTTCAGTTTGCTCTTCTGTAAAATGGGCCTTACTGCATAAGGTTGTTGTGAACATTCAATGAGAATGTAAACTCCTGAAGTGCTCTGCTGGTACTTATCGTGTAGTGTGGGGTTTACGGAACATTCAGTAGTGCTATGTATGTTATTTAGTCTTGCAGTGGGAGAATGATATGGTATCTGACCCTGCTACCTATCTTCTAAGCGCCAGGCTGGTGAGCTGGATGAATCGGTGCTGGAACTGACAAGCCAGATTCTGGGAGCCAACCCCGACTTTGCCACCCTCTGGAACTGTCGACGCGAGGTGCTTCAGCAGCTGGAAGCCCAAAAGTGCGTAGGAGTTCAGGGTCCCAGGAAGATGGCACTGGCCCTGCCCTGCCTGGGTCCAGGGGCAGAGGAAGAATGGGGCAGCCAGGGGCACAGGCAGAGGGGAGCGGAGAGCCGGGTGTAAAAAGTCAGGGGTGAGCTGAGGTTGAGTGTTGGGCCCTGAGTCCCGTTTCCCTCTGAGTGCAGGTCCCCCGAGGAGTTGGCGGCCCTGGTGAAGACAGAACTGGGCTTCCTGGAGAGCTGCCTGCGGGTGAACCCCAAGTCCTATGGTACTTGGCACCACCGCTGCTGGCTGCTGGGCCGCCTGCCAGAGCCCAACTGGGCCCGGGAGCTGGAGTTATGTGCCCGCTTCCTCGAGGTCGATGAACGGAACTGTACGTGCCTGTCTGCTGACTGTGCTCCACACGCTGGTTGCTGGGGCCTCAGTAGGGCCCAGAGTTGGGAGGGATGGGCAGGATAGGCCCATCGAGCTGGTGGCGAAAGGGGTGATGGAGACAAACGCATGCCCTGTAGAGCACACAGAGGTGTTCCTGAGGGCTGCCATGGGAACTCCAGGGGTTCCAGCCATGGAGCTCCCCTTGCCCTACTTCTGAGATGTGCTGTTGCTCCTCCCCTAGTTCACTGCTGGGACTACCGGCGCTTTGTGGCTGCACAGGCAGCTGTGCCCCCTGCAGAGGAGCTAGCCTTCACCGACAGCCTCATCACCCGAAACTTTTCCAACTACTCCTCCTGGCATTACCGCTCCTGTCTCTTGCCCCAGCTGCACCCCCAGCCAGACTCTGGACCACAGGGACGCCTCCCTGAGGATGTGCTCCTCAAAGGTCAGCAGGGTCAGAGGGTGCTGGGGAAGACTGTACTGTTGCCTTTCCAGCCCTGTTACCTAACCCTGTTCCTGAACCTGCTACTTGGGCTCTGAGCACCTACTTTGTGCCTGGCTTTGGGGGTGCCTAAGATTCAACGCCTGGCTGCAGGGCTCTCGAGTGTCCAGTGGGAAAGATGCAGCCGTTGTGCAGGGCCAACAGATGAATGGAACTGAGGGCTGGCGGTACTCCAGGGTGAGGGTGGGATGCTGGGATGGCCTGGGGCCCACCAGGGTCCTGGCCCTAGCCCGCGCCGCCTTGGCCTCTGCAGAGCTGGAGCTGGTACAGAACGCCTTCTTCACTGACCCCAATGATCAGAGCGCCTGGTTTTATCACCGCTGGCTCTTGGGACGAGGTGAGCAATGGGGAAAGAGGCTGGGCGTTTCGGGCTTGGAAGGAACGGAAGAGGATTTAAGGAGACCTGAGACTGTGTCTCCCCCCAGCTGACCCCCAGGATGCCCTGCGCTGCCTGCACGTGAGCCGGGACGAGGCCTGTCTGACTGTCTCCCTCTCTCGGCCCGTCCTAGTGAGTCCTGCAGCTTGTGCCGGAGAGCGTCACGGGTGTGGGCCTTGTGCCACTGGGGCTGACAGGTCTGTCTTTGTCCCCTGGGCCAGGTGGGGTCCGGGACAGAGACCTTGCTGCTGACAGTGGACAAGTCACCCCTGGCTGTGGAGTGGAGGACCCCAGATGGCAGGACCCGGCCCAGCCACGTCTGGGTATCCCAGGGCCGGTGGGGCAGAGTGGGGGGCTGGGGCGGCCCTGGAGCGGGGCAGTCAGAGAAGTGGTGAGGCGCAAGCGTTTCCTTAACCTGGTGCTCCCAGCTCTGTGACTTGCCTGCCGCCTCCCTCAATGACCAGTTGCCCCAGCATACATTTCGTGTCATTTGGACAGCAGGCGATGCCCAAAAGGAGTGTGTGCTTTTAAAAGGTGACACAGCCTCTATCTCTACCCCTTGCGGCAGCACTTTTCATCCTTGCCCTGCTCTCACACTGGTCCCCTTCTACCACCCGTTCTTATTCTCAGGCCGCCAGGAGGGCTGGTGCCGGGACTCAGCCACGGATGAGCAGCTCTTCAGGTGATGGCAGGGAAGCACACGGGCCAGGAGAGGGGCTCTGGGCACCAGGCAGCTGGGGCAGGAGGCCGGGGGCCCAGGCAGATGGTCTCAGACTGGGTACTGGGGACGACCAGCACCCCGAGGAGACATCATCCCCTCTCCCGCCCTGTCCATCTTCAGGTGTGAGCTGTCGGTGGAGAAGTCCACGGTGCTCCAGTCTGAACTTGAATCCTGTAAGGAGCTGCAGGAGCTGGAGCCGGAGAATAAGTGTGAGGCCCCATTTCCTGAGATCCTGCTCTTCTGAGGAGGCCCTTTTCCAGGAGGGCCTCCCGGGGACAGCAGGGAGGGTCTCGGGACGGGAGCAGAGGAGGCTCTAGGAGAGACAGTCCTTCTCTCACCCTCTCCTCAGGGTGCCTGCTCACCATCATCCTGCTGATGCGGGCACTGGACCCCCTGCTGTATGAGAAAGAGACGCTGCAGTATTTCCAGACCCTCAAGGCAGGCCAGGCCTGTGGGAGTAGGGAGCGGGGAGGCCCAGTGGGCAGCAGGAAGACAGCTGACGGGGCTTCCTTGCCATGCCTATCCCCGCCAGGCCGTGGACCCGATGCGGGCAGCGTACCTGGATGACCTGCGCAGCAAGTTCCTGCTGGAGAACAGCGTGCTCAAGATGGAGTATGCCGAGGTGCGCGTGCTGCACCTGGGTCACAAGGTACGGACTGCCGTGGGCACCTTCCTCGGGCCCTTCCTTCTTCCTCATGACCTGGACAGCTTTTGAGCCCTCTCTGTGGGCTTGAGCTGAGGCACTCTGGCCTCGCCGGGCCCCTGACTTTGGCCTGAGTCTCACGTGCCTTTCTGGACTTTCTTCCTAACCAAGATTGAATTCATCTTCCTTCCGGACTATTCCTCTTCCTGGCCTTGCTTTCTGTCACCTGCCCCCATCATTCTGGTTACCCAGTCTCAAACCCTGAGTCACCAGGGCCCTCTCATGCCATCCCTTCTCCAGGGCCAGTCATGTCTTCATTCTTCCCTCACAGTGAGCCGTGCCCCCCCGCCCCCACTCCGATGCTTCTCTCCCTGGAGCAGGCCCCAGCACCTAAAGCCTGGGTAGTTTCCAAAGATGTCTGACAAACTTCCCAGGCTCTGTTTTCCGTCTTCGTAGCCTATCCCAGTCAGTCTTCCCAACAGAGCAGTTCCGTCACATCGCTGCCGCCCACTTCCATTGTCTCCAGACTGGTCCCCCAGACTCAGCAGGCCTGCTCCTGCCGGTGTCTGTGCTTTCCCCAGCGCCCTCCTCCACCCCCTGTGCCTGCCCCCACTCCAGGCTGCCTCCACCCCTCCACCCGCCCGCCCACCCCCCCAGCCCAGCACTCCCTGCCTGTCCCTTGTCCTTGCTCTGGAGCGTGGACTGCTCGGGGTCGTAAGGTAAGCTTCTCACCTGCTCTGTCCTGTCCTCGGCCAGGGTCCCCAAGGGCCTGTGTGGGGCACAGAGGGTAAGTGCCTCGTGAACCGTGGCTGCGGACCCTCCCCTAAGTCTCACTGAGTATCTCATCCCCCTCCTCAGGATCTGACGGTACTCTGCCATCTGGAACAGCTGCTCTTGGTCACTCATCTGGACCTGTCACACAATCGTCTGCGCGCCCTGCCCCCTGCCCTGGCTGCCCTGCGCTGCCTCGAGGTAAAGCACTCCTCCATCACTGTCCCAGGTGGCCCTTTTCCCTTTCCTCCCCCTCAGAAGTCTGCCCACCCCACAAGGAGGTGTCCAGATCCTCCCAGCCCCTGCAGATGACCCCTTGCCTTCTCTGCCTCCATCACCTAGCCTGACGCCAGCAGCTTTTCCCTGCACTGTAAGCTGATCACCCCAGGCTCCCTGCTTGCTTGCACCAGTCCCAGGCTGCCAGCTGGCTGCCCTGCCTTGACTTCCCTGCACTCCCTGCTCCCCAGGTCCTGCAGGCCAATGATAATGCCATAGAGTCCCTGGATGGTGTCACCAGCCTGCCCCGGCTGCAGGAGCTCTCCCTGTGTAACAACCGTATCCTTCCGGGTGCCTTTCAGGCCGGGGGGGGGGGGTGACGTGCCACACTGGGAAGGGACACACAGTAAGCTGGGAGAGGGGGCTCTGACAGCGTAGGCTAAGGAAGGAGGGTAGCCTGGGGCCGTATGGGGCATCGGTGACTTGCACTGGTGGTTTTGCAGGGTGGAAGTGACTTCCTCAAGCCAGTTCACAGACCAGCGGCCTGCAGATGTTCTTGGGTACCACATGGTATTTTAAAAATCAGAAAGTTTCGTATTAAAAAAATCTAGAATTCTGATTGTACTTAAAAATTGGAGGTTAGGGGCCCCTGATAGAGTCAGACAGTCACAGTAGAGTGTGTGACTCTTAATCTCAGGGTCGTGAATTCAAGCCCCACATTGGGTGTGGAGCCTGCTTAAAAAAAAAAAATGGGAAAGTTAAAGCAGTCTTTGGCCTGCATTTCCACTTAGCAAGCCTTGGCCATTGCCGAGTCATGGAGGCCTCCGTAGTCAGAGCTGGCTTTCTCCTTGGCCGTAGTCCACCACTGCTGGTACCACATGCAGCCTGCCGCTTGGGCTTCCTGCCTGGCCCCGGGGGCAGGTGTTTGCAGTCTGCAGCCTTACTCCAGGCCAGGGCCTCGTGCAAGATGCCTCGCAGCCAGACCGCTGGGCCGCAGTCCTTGTTGTGGAAGGAAAACCATGATGGCTACCCAGGAGCACATAGGTCTGGGGGAACCGGCCACGCTTTCCTTGACTCTCCTGCCCAAGGCCTCTGGCAGCCCACACTGCTCCAGCCTCTTGCCTCCTGCCCCAGGCTGGCCCTCCTCCACCTGCAGGGCAACCCCCTGTGCCAAGCAGTGGGCACCTCTGAGCACCTGGCAGAGCTGTTGCCTTCAGTTAACAGCATCCTCACCTAGGAGATCCTTCCCCACCCTTGCTCTTTAACTTATTGGGACTGAATAAACAATGGAGAGGCCCCCTCGGGCTGCTACGCCGCCCCCGCCCCCTCCGCCGCCGCCGCCACCATAACCACTGCCACCTATTCTGGACAAGAAGGGGAGAGAGTGAGGCTGTGTCAGCTCTCCCTCGCGCTTTCGTCTTCCACTCAGTTCTGCTGTTTCTTACCACCGGGAACCAAAGTCTCGGTATTGGGGCAGAATCCGCAAAATCTGAGTTCACCTTCTGGTTTGGGCTGGGGTGGGGATTGGGTTTGGGTTCAGGTTCTTTTTGGGGCTGGGCTGCAAAGCAGCTGGAAGTCTCCAGCTAGAAGGACTCATAAAAGGTTCTCCCATGACTCCTGTCCCTTCCAGATGCCCTCCGCGCCCTGGCTCATTCACCACAGCCGAGAAGGCTGTTCCCGGGAGGAACCAGGGTGTCCAAGCTCTGCCCTCTGTAATAAGAGCATCGGTCCTCAGTAGCATCCTGCGGTTGAAGAGCCCTTGACAATACTAGGTCTCAGCTGGCCCTCACAAGTGCTCAGGAATGAGCTGGTCAGGTCCACTGTACTGACGAGGAAGCTGCTCCTAGGGTGTGCCCACGTTTGCTGGGCTCTCATGCTGGAGCCACAGCTGGCTCTGCACCGTGGTCAGGGATTCCAGACTCGTGTTCTTGCTTCCGTATTGATAGCGAGTGATGGGCAGAGCCTGGCCTCCACTTCTGAAGTACTGAGCTGGGTGTCTACTCCCATGGTGCCCCCCCGCCCCAACGCCTCTTCCTGACTTTAAAAGCGCTGAGGCACTTGAGCCTCCTGGAGGGAGGAGAGGGAGCAGCTCAGTGGCTAGAGCACTGAGTCAAACCTGGCTAGGTGGGGGAAAGGGAAATAAAAGGGAGAGAGTGTGACAAGGCATTACCCTGACTCCCTGGGAATCTACTGGGGCCCACAAGTGCTTACACACTTCCGGCTGCTCAGGACCCTGCCCCCCCCCCGCCCCCGGTTCTTAGTGGCAGCCCTCAACAAAGCCCCTTGGCTGACCTGCCTGGAATTTTGATTTTTACTTACGTGTCCCCTGAGAGTGTTGGAGGTGGACACAGATCCTCTGCCAGGTCTGGGGCTTGGAACCGGGCAGGCAAAGGTCAATGTGGGTGTGAAGGGCTCCCTGCCAGGTCCTGGAGTCTCAGTCCCCACTCCCTGAGGCTCCACCCTGCCCGATGCATCACCAAACTCTGCCCTTCCTCAGGTTTGCTTCCTTGTGTCTTGTCAACCCCGTTTTCACTGTCTTCTGTCCAATGGCCCATGGGCAGAGCTAGGACAATAGCAGGATGTAAGGAAGAGACCCCCAGAAAAGGGCCCCAGCATTCCCAAAGAACTTTCAGGAGAGCTTCCCCAAAGATGCCTGACCTCCACTTTGCCTTAGGGTTCTCTCAGTGGCATCCCCGGTGTTTTTCCAGTCCCAGGGTGGAGTTGGGATGCACACAGGGCAGGTGCCTGGAGCCGGTTGGTCAGGATTTCTGGGAAGAATTCCAGGCTGGAGAATCCTGGACTCCAGCTGACTGGCTACCCCTCTCAGTGAGAGGGGGTACTCTGCCATCTAGGGAGAGGGCCTCAGTTCCCCCCTGAGCCTCCGAGCCAGGGCCTAAGCCTTCACCAAGCCCCCAGGCTGGGGGGAGAAAACAAGAAGTTGCTGCTACCCTGACCCTGACCCTCACCCCCCCAACCCAATCTCAAACTTGTAGGGACACGGGAAGCTGGGGGCAGTTCATTCATGCCAGGGGTTGTGAAGCAGCTGGAGGAAGAAGGAAGGACAGATGGGTGGAGGGGGGGAATCAGAGGATCTGGTAGAGCCAGCAGGTCAGGGGTTGGCTGGTGGAGCCAGTCTGAGGGCCTGGCTGCTGATGTCACCAGTCTGCAGCTTAGGATCCCAGGACCTCCCTGGGCAGGACCAGGCCCATGGGCCAGTTTCATGGGGGCTGAGCCTGGCCAGGGCTGCACCAGAGCCTGGCAGTGGGGGGCCTGTGAGAGCAGAGACAGGCCACCTGAGCTTGGGAACAGGGTCCCCTGCATAGGGGCGTGGGTGGAAGGGGCACCCTGTCCCATTGCCCTCGGGGTTTCTCGCCCAGGAGAGGGGGCCCCTTCTGCACCAGTCTGGGAGGAATCAGCCTGGAGTGGGGTCCCTCAGTGGGGGCGGTCTCCCAAGACCTTCCACTTTCACCTCAGCTTTGAGTCCTGACAGACCCCGGCCCCACCCCGCAGTTCCTCGAAAGGGTAAAGGGGACAGGGCCAGGTCTCATTTCCTGCCCCTATCTCCAGAGTCAGCCCCTGGAGGCTGGGCCTCTGGGGTGGGGGGGGTTGGAGCAATCAGGTTTGCCCTCTCCACAGCTTGGCCCCGCCCTCCCCCCTCATAAACCACATACCCACCCGCCCCACACCTTGCACTTGCTCCATCCCAGCAGTCCCGACCTGTCCCAGCCCGGCCGCCAGACTCAGTGCTGCTGTCGCTGACACCGCCGCCAGGTGAGGCTCCGTCGGGGACTGCGGTGCTGAGCCCAGGGGACTCAGGTCGGGGCCCCAGCAACGTGGGGCGCGGGCCAGCCTGAACCTGTCAGCCCAGGGCCGGCTGCCCCGACGCAGAGGCTCCGTGCCCCTGGACCGCGGGCTCCCGCACCTGCAGCGCCCTGCCACTCTCATAGCTCCGTGTGGGTGACTGACCCAACGTGGGGAATGCCAAGAACCTCAAGTCCTGCATATCACCCGCCTGTCTTCTGCAAGGAGCCTCTGCTGAGGGAAGGGGTGGGGGATCTCTGCTAACAATGGGTCCTAGAGGCAGGCAGCTCATGGACTTCTAAACTGAGTAACTGGCAGGAGCAGGTCCCAAGGATGGTCTGTGTGCCGGGTCCTGAGGCTATGACAAGTGCCCACTCTTTTCTGGGATGGGTTCTTGAGGGCAGGTTTCTCAGTGGGGCATCTGGTTTGGTGGACGTCACTGCGGGTAAAAGGGAGATTTCTCTGCAACGTGGGTAGTTTCTCTAGGTGAATCTTGAGAGGAGTCTTTGGGGAGGGTCCCTGGTTGGGTCTGGGGGGGTCTCTGGGGCAAGATCAGGTCATCTCAGTCAGCTGGATGGGACTGTGTCAGCTCTCCAGATGGAGGGCTTCTGTGTGCGCTGGCGGGGGCGGTCTAAGTACAGGAGGTCTGAGTGGGTGATCGGAGCCTCCCTGCCTCTTCTGCACAGGCATGACGGACGGTCCTCGGTCGGATGTGGGCCGCTGGGGCGGGAACCCCTGGCAGCCCCCCCACACACCTTCTCCGGAGCCAGAGCCAGAGCCAGACAGAGGGTCTCGTCGAGGAGGCCGTTCCTTCTGGGCTCGCTGCTGTGCCTGCTGCTCCTGCCGAAACGAGACAGATGGTGACTGGGGCCCGGAGCCCCATGGAGACCGAGGCTCCAGGGGTCGAGGGTCCAGCTCTGGGAGTCGAAGACCGGACTCCCGGGGCTCAGATTCCCGCCAGCCTGGCTCCCGGACCGGCGGTGTGAACGCAGCTGGAGATGGTACCATCCGAGGTGAGGCCCTCCTGCCCACCTTATCTGCCAGCCGAAAGGCCTTAATGGGGCCCGAGACTCATCCTGACGTCTCTGGGGGCCTGGGAGGCCTAGGATGGGGCCTGGGCTTCCCATAGGGCTTCGCTGACCCAGAGCTGTGGCCTTGCAGAGGGCATGCTGGTGGTGACCGGTGTGGATCTGCTGAGTGCACGGTCAGACCAGAATCGCCGAGAGCACCACACAGATGAGTTTGAATACGACGAGCTGATTATACGCCGTGGACAGCCTTTCCACATGGTCCTCCACTTCTCTCGGCCCTATGAGTCCTCCGATCGTGTCGCCCTGGAGCTGCTTATTGGTCAGTGGGGCCTGCAGTGGGAGGGCGAAAGTCCTAGAATGGGGGGCAGGGGTGCTGGCTAGCAGGGCCTCCCAGCTCTGGTATTAGGGTCAGAGGGACATCTTTAAGCTCCTCCCTCACCCCGCTCCTTACCTCTGCCGCGTAAGACAGGTGCAAGCATAGGAGGGTGTTTCAGGGAGGGTCTTGGTGTCCCATTTTCCTAAGATCACCCTCTTTGAGCCTCCAGAGGCATCTGTCTCAAAACACTTTCTCTTCAGGTGCTTGCTTCAGCTGCTGCTTCTCCGTGGCTGCCTCTGTGTGTCTTTCTTTCTGGGTCTGTTGTCCTACCCCAGGGTGTGGCTGGCTCTCTCTCTCCTCTCTGTCCAGCTCTGTCTCTGTTTCTCTGTCCCCATGGCCCAGGGCAGGTGCCTCCCTCACCGCGTTGCTTGGTGGCCGTTGACTGCCCAGGCTGGTGATTATGCTGCTGCCGGGGGCGGGCGACTCCTCATACCCTTTGATTAGAGCCTAGCCTTGCCCACCCCAGCCTCTAATTTCCCGGGTACCCCCACCACTGCCACCAGGGATGCTCTAGGCTCTGGAAGCTGCAGCCCCATGGAGTAGGCAGGGTTGGCCTTCAGGATCTGGGCTGCCCTTTCACATGGGCTCGGGGCATCTGGACCCAGCCGGGGCAGCTCTGTTCCTCCAGCCCAGGCACTGGGACAGTCAGGCGGGCAGAGGGTGATGGTGGCCTGGTCTCTTCTACCCACCTCTGAGTTCAGTGTCTGGGGAACAGGTTTGGGATGTTGGACTAGGGCTCTGCCCTGGCATGCGGGCAAACATCGGGTGGGGACAGAGCTGCTCTCAGAGACTGTCACAGACTAAGGTGGTGGCCCAACTCAGGGACACGCACACACGCTGGCTCATACATATTCTGGGTGGGGTTGGGAGAAATGCAAGGTTCCATCTCCCCTCAGAGAGGCCTCATCAGCTAATTGCTGCTTCCCCTCTTCCAGGAAACAACCCTGAGGTGGGGAAGGGCACCCACGTGATCATCCCAGTGGGCAAGGGGGGCAGTGGAGGCTGGAAAGCCCAGGTGACTAAGGCCAGCGGGCAGAATCTGAACCTCCGGGTGCACACGTCCCCCAGCGCCATCATCGGCAAATTCCAATTCACCGTCCGCACACGC